CAAAAAATTCAAATGTTAGAATATTGAACAAGATATAATGAAATAAAACATAATCTAAAAAAATTAAGCGAACCAAATTGTAACTATCATTTTATACAAATACTAATAAAAAATAAATGATTTAAAAAACTAAAAAATGAAAAAAAGAATTACAGGCAAAAATAAAAAAAAGTTATTAGAAGTTTTTTAATTAAATTGAAATAATTAAAATGTAAAATAAATTTTGCTTAATTCAAATTAAAAAATTTATGTTTTGTCATAAAATGAAAAGAATTTTAAATCAAAAAAAAATTATTTATAATATGAAGAAAAAATTTAAAAAAAATATAATAAAAAACAAATTAAACAAAAAAAGTTACGAAAATTAAATAAAGAATATATAATTATTATTTAACTAAAATTAATAAAATTAAATTTTATCATAACAAAAAAAAATTATAAATCGAAGAGAAATTCTCTTCATGAATGGAGGGTCACTCTCCTTTCAAAGGAGAGTTTACTCCTTTCAAACTCTCATCTTGCACGGTTCGGACGAGAGAATCTCTCTGTGGGATTTTATTTTTCATTTTTTATATTTTTTCTTTTCTTAATCTGTTTTGTTTATATTACAAATAATTTTTTTATTTAAAATTCTTTTTAATTTTTTTCTCTTTATGATAAAATTTAATTTTTTAATTTTAATTAAATAATATTTATATATTCTTTATTCAATTTTCATAACTTTCTTTTGTTTAATTTAGTTTTTTATTATATATATATTTTTAAATTGTTACAGGCAAAAGGAAATGTTTTTATAAAGTTTTTTAATTGAATTGAAATAATTTAAATTAAAAATAAATATGATTTAAATTAAATTTAAAAAATACGATTTATCATAAAACGAAAAGAATTAAAAAGAATTCTTAATCGAATAAAAAATTATTTATAATATGAAAAAAAAAAGAAATTCTAAAACAATTTTAAAAAAATCAATAAAAACAAAACAAATTAAAAAAAAAGAAAGTTACGATAATTAAATAAAGAATATATAAATATTATTTAATTAAAATTAAAAAATTTAATTATATCATAAAGAGAAAAAATTAAAAAGGAACAGTGAATTCTTTCATCTTATCATATTGTAGCAAATTTTTTTAATCATGGGAGCAAAAACGACGTTTTGTTATATTTAATCATTTCTCTATTTTCACACGCCACTTCACTGCAATATTTTTCTATTTTCACACACTACTTCATATCGTCCAATTCAATACTAGTAAATAAAGAAAAAATTAAATGATTAACAAATTATTAAAAAAAAATTATAGGAAAAAAAGTTATTATAAAGTTTTTTAATGAAACTGAAACAATTAAAATTAAATTTTATTTAATTAAAATTTTAAATAGAACAAAAAATATTTATAATATTAAAAAAGAAATTTTAAAACAATTTTAAAAAAATATATAATAAAAACAAAACAAATTAAACAATAGAAAGTAACGAAAATTAAATAAAGAATGATAAATATTATTTAATTAAAATTAAAAAAATTAGATTTTGTTATAAAGAGAAAAGAATTAAAAAGATTTTTAAATCGAAAAAAATTTATTTATAATATGAACAAAACAAATTAAAAAAAGAAAAAAATAAATGAAGGAAAAAAATTTCTCTCCATAGACAAAGAGAATCTCTCCATCTATATAAGAGCATTTTTTCCTCATTTTTTTTTCTTTTTTTGTAATTAGTTCTGTTCATATTATAAATGATTTTTTTCGATTTAAAATTATTTTTAATTTTTTTATGATAAAACTTAAATTTTCAATCTTAATTAAATAATATTTATACATTCTTTATTTAATTTTCATAACTTACTTTTGTTTAATTTGTTTTGTTATTATTATTTTTTTTGAATTTTTTTAAATTTCCTTCTTTTTTCATATTATAAATAATCTTTATTCAATTTAAATTTCTTTTTAATTCTTTTCATTTTATAATAAATCGTATTTATTTAAATTTTAATTAAATCATATTTATTTTTAATTTAATTTAATTAAAAAAATTATAATTACTTTTTCTTTTGTTTGTAATTATTTTTTCTTTAATTTGTTAATCATTTAGTTTTTTATTGGTATTAGTGTAAAATGATGTTGCAATTTGGTTCACTTAATTTTTTGAGATTATACTTTATGACATTATTTTTTTGTTTGATGTTCCAACATTTGAATTTTTGAAAGATGTAATATCATCTGGATGCGGAGTTGAGAACAATAATTATTATAATCAAATATGAGATTAGAATGCTTTAACTTACCTGTTTTTATTAAATTGAAATAATTTAAATTAAAAATAAATATCATTTAAATAAAATTGAAAAAATTACATTTCATTATAAAATGAAAAGACTAAAAAAGAATTTTAAATAAAAAAAGTATTTACAATGTGAAGATAAAAGAAATTTCAAAACAATTTAAAAATATATATATATATAATAAAAAACTAAATTAAACAAAAGAAAGTTGCGAAAATTGAATAAAAAATATATAAATGCTATTTAATTAAAATTGAAAAAATTAAATTTTATCATAAAAAGTAAAAAATTAAAAAGAATTTTAAATCCAAACAAAATTATTTATAATATAAACAAAACAAATTAAGAAAGGAAAAAATGAATAATGAAAAATAAAAAATAAAATCCCACATAAACCATGAAAGGAGAATTTCTCCCTTTCAAAGAAGAGATTCCTCTCCGTGAAAGGAGAGTGACTCTCCATTCATGGAAAGAAATTTCTCTATGGTCCCGTTTGGTATTCATTTTTTTTCAAAATGTATTTTTCTCTCTCTTTTTTTTAACCACATATTCTTTATTAAAATAATATTACACGTAAATCAGAAACTTTTCATTATTCTTCAACCACAAATTTCTCATTTATTTACTATTCAAAAATGTATTTTTACATAAAAATACCTCCCAAACATCCTCTATATTTCTCTTCGATTTAAAATTTTGTTTAATTATTTTTGTTTTTATTATATTTTTTTAAAAAAATTCTTCATATTATAAATAAACTTTTGTTCGATTTAAAATTCTTTTCGTTTTATGTAAAACGTAATTTTTTCAATTTTAATTAAATAAAATTTATTTTAAATTTTAATTATTTCAATTTAATTAAAAAACTTTATAATAATTTTTTCTTTAATAATTTGTTAAATTATTTAGTTTATTTTCTTTATTTATTAGTATTAGATTGAATGAGGTGAAATAGTGTTTGAATATGGAGAAATATTACAGTGGAGATGATGATTGCAGTGAAGTGGCGTGTGAAAATAGAGAAATGATTGAAAACAACACAACGTCATTTTTGCTCACACGATAAAAAAAAATTGCTACAGTATGATAAAATGAAAGAATTCACTGTTCCTAATTACAGTAACTTTCCTTTCCATCCCTCCTTTTTATACAGTATGAAAGTTGGGATAAGTAATGTATATTACTTTATAAAAAAAGGATCAAACCAGTTTGAGACTAGTTTAATGTGAAATCAATGTGACAAAAATGGATAGTAAATATCATATTCTCTCTTTTAAGATAAGGAGGGATAAGTTGATCAAACTTTATTTTTAACCGCATATTGTAGATGTGCACTATTTTGCTTCCAATCTGCAACACAACCGTCTTACTTGACCATTAGACAGCTCTCCACCAAGTATTGATAATATGATACACTTTATTTTACTATTTTTATAATTTGAGTCAACTGCAAAATTTGCATGGTTTTTGAATTTAAGTCCACCAGAAAAGTTTAAATATCCAATTAAAAACGTTTTTAATGAATTTAGAATGCCACCCAATATTGAAAAGTATACTGTCTACCAAACAAGGCAAAAGCAATGATTTTCTGTTCTTTAAAGTCAAATATACTTAGATAAGTTATTTTTAAATTATTTTCAACATTAATTTAAATTAATTGTTATAGAACCGCGAGATTAAAAAATTACTATTTTTAACTTTGATTAATAAAAATTACTAATTTATTTATAAACATAATTTTTGAGCTACCAAACACATGTATTTTATTGTGCTTAACAAGTCTAGAAAAGTAAGTATTGTTAATAAAAAAGTAATTTATAAAAATTAATGTTTAATAAAATAAGTGATCAAAACCAAAATACTCGTGTTTGGCTAAGCGCTTAAGAAGTTTCGAATATTAAGTTTTTTTAATTGAAAAAAAGAAGAAGGTCATTTTGAAAGTTATGTTCATAAAATAAGTAATTTAAAAATAAATTTGAGTCAATTTTAAGCACAATCATACAAATATGTAAGGTTAAACTTTTTTTTTTTTTTTTTTTTTTTTTGGGCAATGGAAGATCAGTTGCTCTCAAGTAAAGTTTTTTTTAATTAGTTTTTTCTTTTCTTTTTTTCTCAACCACATTTTTTTGATGACGTTTTTCGCAACCACCTGTTTATAGAGATACCTTTAAAAAAAGCTTATTTTTTTTAAAGTAATTATTAATTTATTATCTCCATTTGGAAAGAAATTATAAAACGGTTCAATTTATAATGGGTGATAATGAGTAATAGATGCGTGGATAGGAATGTGTAACGTTTGGTAAATTTATAAAAATGGAATAATAGTGATTCCTCCAAGATGTATTTATTAAGTGTCCGTTTCTGTAAGGATTTTATTTAATTTTTTTTTATCAAAGTCAATCTCAATAATTAATTTTACTACATATTTCATAGGATTCACAATTTTTTAAGTATATATTTTATTAATTTTTATCAAAAGCTGCTAAAAATCTGATTTTAAACCCTATCAAAAGGGTTAAGAAATAATTATAATTGTAGGGTTAAAATTAATATTTGAGTTAAGTAATTAATTTTTAAGTTTAATCAATGAAAATAATATATGAAAATAAAAACTTTTTAATGAGACTGCAGATGGGCCCCACACTCGTTACGTTACGATTATTCAAACATTTTCTCTGCTTTGACCTCTCCGCGCAGCTCACTACGATACATACAAAATTACTGGCACAATATCTCCGCCAACGGAATTGTCCATTTTTATTTTTTCTTTTCCCTAAAGAAATGCAAGATTTTTCCAATTTTGTAGCTACTATATCTTAATATATCTACGTACAAAAATTACTTGATCACTTTAAACACTGTGGCACTAATGGTAATTCTGCTCTAATTCATATTTGCTCTGCAGACTTTGACGTTTTTCTTTTTCTGGTAACGTACGTGCATCGCATCGTCTTGTAAGTTGTAACACTACAAAATGTTTTTTTTTTTTAATAATGTTTTTGCAGTTTGTTAATTTGTAATTTGTGGACGTAATTTTTCAGAGATTCTGGAAAGTGAAGATGTGGGATTTAGAAATAACACTGGGATCGATAAATATTGATGGGCATGCTACTCCAAGCAGAATATTGAACTGGTTGTCATCTATTTTTGCTGGTATTTTGATGTGCAAAATTGTAAGACAACTTTTCTGGATTAAGCATTTTTACCCGTAATTTATTGCTGGGTTTTATATTTTTATACATGTAATATCAGTTTCTCGCCCTTTCGAAAATTTTTGTTGATGGAACGTGGAGATTCGTTTGATTTTGGAATAGTATTCGTGGATTTCTGGTCCTCGTTATTTGGTAGATTGATTCTTCAGTGAGTTGTGAGAGGAGAACTGGATTTACATTAAGTCATTACAAAAAAATGAAGGGAGAGATGACTTTTCAATGTTCAATATGAAGTTTGTGTGCTAGAAACACGCATTATTTTTTTAAACCAAAATGCTATGTGTGAACAATGGTGTACACGTAGCATTACACTATATATGAAAATAAAAACTTTTTAATGAGACTGCAGATGGGCCCACACTCGTTACGTTACGATTATTCAAACATTTTCTCTGCTTTGACCTCTCCGCGCAGCTCACTACGATACATACAAAATTACTGGCACAATATCTCCGCCAACGGAATTGTCCATTTTTATTTTTTCTTTTCCCTAAAGAAATGCAAGATTTTTCCAATTTTGTAGCTACTATATCTTAATATATCTACGTACAAAAATTACTTGATCACTTTAAACACTGTGGCACTAATGGTAATTCTGCTCTAATTCATATTTGCTCTGCAGACTTTGACGTTTTTCTTTTTCTGGTAACGTACGTGCATCGCATCGTCTTGTAAGTTGTAACACTACAAAATGTTTTTTTTTTTAATAATGTTTTTGCAGTTTGTTAATTTGTAGTTTGTGGACGTAATTTTTCAGAGATTCTGGAAAGTGAAGATGTGGGATTTAGAAATAACACTGGGATCGATAAATATTGATGGGCATGCTACTCCAAGCAGAATATTGAACTGGTTGTCATCTATTTTTGCTGGTATTTTGATGTGCAAAATTGTAAGACAACTTTTCTGGATTAAGCATTTTTACCCGTAATTTATTGCTGGGTTTTATATTTTTATACATGTAATATCAGTTTCTCGCCCTTTCGAAAATTTTTGTTGATGGAACGTGGAGATTCGTTTGATTTTGGAATAGTATTCGTGGATTTCTGGTCCTCGTTATTTGGTAGATTGATTCTTCAGTGAGTTGTGAGAGGAGAACTGGATTTACATTAAGTCATTACAAAAAAATGAAGGGAGAGATGACTTTTCAATGTTCAATATGAAGTTTGTGTGCTAGAAACACGCATTATTTTTTTAAACCAAAATGCTATGTGTGCACAATGGTGTACACGTAGCATTACACCCCTCACATGGAGGAGGGCCCACACACAATAAAATATTCGCGGCCTCCCTCCATTTGAGAGGAGTGTAATGCATTGTGTACACCATGAGGTGTACACATAGCATTTCTCCTTTTTAAATCACTTCTGATTCTTTTAAATGTTTGGTGGGTCTAAAGAAAATTTGGTGAGGGGGAGGGGGAGACTGAATGCAACAAGTTCAAACCAGAAACATGTTTTTCTTTCATGAGGGAAGATGATTTATCACTTTTCCAAAGGCTCGTACTACTATAGCAATAGATCCAGCAAGAAGTATCAGGTTTAGGACACAATTCAATACAATGCCTGCATATGTTGTTTGTTATGATCTTCTTAAAATGTGTCCCTTTTAATGACAACGAATAGAAAACATGCAGCATATTTTGGTCATTTCTGATACCCTTTAAAGAGTTCCAATTTTGTTGTTGAAGGTTTATGACTTAACAGGTACGATAAGCACTTCGTTCTTCAAGGGATATAGCAAACTTAATCGTAATGAGAGGCTTGACTGGAAAAACAGGTTATTTTGTTTCTCATGCCTATTCCTGTTTTGATGTTATAATAAGGTCCCCCATTTCAGAATGAATTTTGAAGTAATGTAACAATTGGAATTTATTTTTGTGGCAGGGGGTTCTCCACGTTCCATGCCATCCTTGTTGCAGCTGGTTCTCTGTATCTCTTACTTGGGTCACGTGTTTTTGATGGTGCTCATGACTTTAATATAAACATGACATCAACTTTATCGGACACCATAATGGGGGTACGTTACTGCAAGTGGCCATGTCAAATTAACTGAGCATGGAATTATAGTTTCCTAGTAGTTTTGGTTACTTCTTATTGGCTTGCATCAAAATGACATTGTAGATATTTTTCTACACAAGATAGTGCACGGCTATAGATCTCGTTACCCATGAGAGAGCCATTTCTACTTTTCTTTCTTAATCCATGGTTGGTTGCAGGGAGATAAGAATTGAAAATCATTTTGCCTCCTTATGGTTATGACGCAGAATAAGAACTTATTAAAACTAAAGTACATTGATGACAAAAAATATATCAATTAAATTGGTTATTCATCAAAAGTACCAAAAACCTAGATATGTCTCATTTATGTAGGCCTACAAAGAGTCGTAGAATGACATTTACCTCGGTTGATCTAAACTTTTGTCCATAAAATAAATTAGCAAGGTGGTGATGAGATAATCTAACCACATTTAGTGAAAGAAGGCTACCATGCTTGAAATAATATTAACCTTTAGCAACCAAAAAAAGACTGATAAGAACTGGAATGTTTAAAGCTTTTGAAATCCATAAATGAAGTAGAAGAAATCAATGGAATTGCAGTTGGAGCTAAAGAAAGAGGACTGCTAATTGAGTCATCAAAGGCAAATAACAAATGAGATTTTGAACATTTTTAGCATACTAACAAGTCCCACGCAAAGAAATAGATTTAACTTCCAAATCCTATAGTCAAGTAATTACATGTGCACTCAGTTTAGATTTAAATATTAGAAGTGTACTGTTAGAAGAGGATTTTTGAAATAATTGTAAATATAGACAGACAATGCAGTTGTAGATGAATCATGAGAAATAGTTTGAAGATTAATTTGATTCTCACGACTAACACATGGTGCATCATAAGAAATTTTTGAAGGGCGATGATGACCGTAGAGTCAAATTATGAAAATGTCCACTATCTTCCATATATCAATCTGGCTGTCAATTTATCAAAAAGGTACCGAATATCTAGATATGGCCCTTGTTTATATTGGTCTGTGAGAGGCGGACGAAGAAATAATCTATTTGATTAGGAGTTCCTAATTAGAATCTAACTTGGCCTGTAGTTATCATGTGTCTCTTGTATGATTGCTTCTCATTCCTTATCAAATTATTTGATAAATAGTGACATTTAAATTAGATTGTTTAGGTATTGTAACAAATTTTAGGGGGTTCAATTAAATTTTTTTGACATTTATGGAAGCTCAATTGAGAACCAACTTTCCTGTCTTTATATGTCTGTATATCATTCTGTGGACTTAATTAATGTACCAATTTTCTCATCCTTGTTATTTAGTGTTTATAAACTTCTTCAATAATTTCTTAGATCCTTAATGTTATTTTTTTCTTCTCTTATGTTTTTATTTTGATTGTTTTGTTATTCAACAATACAGGTTTCCATCGGCTACTTTATCTCGGATTCAGCAATACTTCTTTATCACTTTCCTGTTTTAGGTGGTCTGGAGTTTGTAAGTGTACCTTAAAACATAAAGTTCACTCGCCATGTTGTTGTTGAACTAGAAAGCGCTTAGATTTATTTGATCCCTTGTAATGGATTTTAATTTAAAAATACTTGTAACTTTTTTTCTACTGTATACCCGGTCTTATCTATTTCCTACCTATTTTTGGGAAAGCAAGTTAGCAGTTTTGCAAGTTTTGGTGTTAACTGGTGGATTCAGCTTGAATTGTTTGAGAGCAGTTATTATTATTTGCACTGAAATGTTGTTTATCTCTTTATTTCTTGAGAATTTCTATTCGAATTATTTCATTTCATTTGCTAGGTCTTACACCATGGACTCTCTTTGTATTCAATCATTCTATCACTTCTGAGCGGTCGAGCACAAATCTATATTCTGATGGTTCTCTTTTCTGAATGCACAACTCCTTTTGTCAACCTAAGATGGTGAAGTGATTTTGATCTTTTCCTCTCCCGTTCCATCTTTTAGGTATTAAACATGTACTCATCCCTGTTACAATACATTCAGGTATCTTGATGTTGCTGGCCAGAAGAATTCCAAGCTTTACATCTTCAATGGCGTGGCTTTGTTCTTTGGGTGGTTGGTATGGTCTTTTATATACTTCAGAATTTTGCATTTTACTCTAAAATGTTAAGTGTTCTGCTCGATCATATTATCTGCACATATTGCAGGAGAATGGAAACTCAACTTTATCGGTCACTTGACTGTGTGGATGAGTTTCTAAAATCTGTGATCATTATGCACTGCCCCAGAATCTGTCTACCGTTCTTTTTTGGTATATCTATGTTTTTTTTTTTGAAATATTGGAGTTTTATAAATGAAAGCCATTTGCCTCTTTAGTTCCTTAAGAAAAAGGGTGCTGGGATTAGCCAGGGCATTTTAGGAATTCACTAGGAAAATAGCTTGTATACATAACATTTTCATCAGTATAAATTATTTGAATCAGCCTTACAAGCAACTTATAACATTTGATCATCAGCCTGCTCATTTGGACATGATTACGGCATTTACAGCTGAAATGACCATCTTATTTTACCACAATGGATTTAAAATAACATAGTTATAATTGTGACTTGAATATTCATTACAGTAAGTAACATTTTACATATTTGTGAATTTCCGTGCATGTAGATTATTTTATATTACATTTTAAGTTGGCTTTTGTGATGACATAGATGTTTGTAACACGTAGACTTTTGATCTTCAGGTTGCAAGGGTTCTTCTATTTGTGTTCCTTTTCTACCACATGTTTATCCATTTTGATCAGGTAACTGGACAATCCCTGTTTTAGTTTTATCAATAGCCTTCAAGAAGACTCTTCTATCTGCTATATTTGATTACTGAATGATAAGAAATGGTTCAATCTGGAATTTTCAGGATACAAGGAACATAATGTCCATTAGTATACCCTACTCTTTCATCTTATTTACAGCTGACGTTTGTTGGAGAGGGGGATATGATAGGAAATTATTTTTTTGTCCTTAAGCTTGTTCCACAGGAGAATATGAGAAACGGAAAGAAGAGGAAAATCTAGAGATATATGGATGACCTCTTCATGGATTTCCCCCCATATTTCTGTGACGTGCTAATCTTTATTTGTTACGTAAATTTTTGAACATATAGTTTTCCTGAGGACAATCTTGCCTCCATCTTCTCTCTGTTCACTCAAAGCACGTTTGGCATTAATTAGACAGTACAAAGTTTTAAGATTTAACTTATTTTTCCTTCTGTACTACTGTCTTCACCTTACCGAACAAACCACAACTATATCATAACTTGCAGATTGTAGATAGTCTTGCTTTTTATATAATTTTTTTTCTATTTGTTTATTCTTATGCTTCGAAGACTTTTTCCAGATGGGTTGCAATTTCTCAGTTTCTGTGGCTTTGAAAACCAATAGTTATTCTTCTTGCGCCAAAAAAACGAAAAAGTTGAAAAAGGATTGTGTAAACTTTATCTTTTGTTCTTTTCAGGTCAAGAAAGTGTTTCCATTGGGCTTTTACAGCTTGCTTACAGTAGCTCCTCTGTTGGCATTAATGAACGTGTTCTGGTTTTGGAAAATCGCCAATGGTTTGGTAAAAACCTTGAACAAGGCTAAACACAGTCAGTAGAATTCTCTTTCTAGCTTATGAATATACATCTATGTGTTTGACTAGCGCAAATGTAGTTTTATTCTTTTCGCTATTATGAGCCTCAACGTACAAGGATATAGCTTAGAGTGTGTAAAACTAGTGCAGGGATAACAAATATTTTAGCATGCATTGTCGAAATTTTTTAGAGAAACCGTATCGTGTAACTGAAAAGTTTGTTGCAGCTTCATGTAAATTGATACTTTGAAATGCCAGAAATTCAGATTAAGATTGTTGGGTAAGAATTTGAGCCCCTGTTTGGCCCCCATTTTGTAGGGTTGAAAATGGGTGGAATAGTATTTTTTTTTGAAAAATGAGTAGTTGAAAAAGAAGGAAATTTTTTTGATTTACGTGTAATATTAATGAAAGATTGTGTGGTTGAAAATATGAGAGAAAAATGTAATGTAATGTAATTGAAATTAATGGGGGCCAAACGGTGAATGTTGTGTTTGTTTGACACGTCTTTTTATCATGCAGTGTTCATGAACCTAATGGTTGGATTTGGCAAAGTAGAGTTTAGATTCAATTTAGTTCTGTTATGACATAGTTGCGTAAGAATATTGACATCGAAAGATTGTGTGGTTGAAAATATGAGAGAAAAATATAATGTAATGTAATAGAATTTAATGGGGGCCAAACGATGAATGTTGTGTTTGTTTGGCACGTCTTTTTATCATGCAGTTTTCATGAACCTAATGGTCAGATTTGGCAAAGCAGAGTTTAGATTCAATTTAGTTCTGCTATGACATAGTCACGTGAGAATACCAACATTGAAATATATTAATATTACTGTACGGATTGTCGGATGTATGATGCCTAATTATGATTTACACTTTTCACGATCACAAATTCACCTTCGCAAAAAGGTCGATGGGTGTAGGGAATAGCCCACGAGCCAAAAAAAAAATTAGATATATTTATAGTGATGCCATTGGAAGTTCACTCGCGTATTGGTTCGACCTAGCTTGATGCTAAATGTAGCAATAAAATTTGCAATTTAACTGCTGAAATTTAGTTAACCCAATAAGATTTAGATAGGTGTTGGCTGACCAGAAGTGTAATTTTGTCGTAGGCGAATTATTGATTTATCTATAGAATTCTATTCGATTATTCATTTAATGTAATATTTTACCTATTAGTCAATCTATAGAGATCAATAGGCTATGAATCACCCAATGAAATAGACGTTCTTGAGATGAGGGTAAATTAATGCTTATAGCCAACGCTACGAGATTGAACGGATGAAATTAATTTGAAATAAATGGCATGTTGAAAATATTAATTTTCACCAAAAGAAATGTGTTGTGAACATCACTAAAGACATGAATTTGATGCTAGGCATGTCTATAGTGAATTAGGTAATATAGAGAAAGTGAAAAATTGAAAAAGAATTTTCGAAGCAACAAAAAATTAGGCAAGGTGGGGACCCACATCGCATTTGGTTAAGAGATGAGGAAGAACATAATAAAAAAGGTTCAGAGCGTTTTAAGAAGAAAAAATAGTTTGGGATCTTTTAATTTTCTTGACGTGTATAACTATAAAACAAACACTATAATTTATGCTTTCAAGTGGGGACAATTGTTAGATTATGGAGAATTGTGTAGAAATAATTATCTTCCGTGATTGAGAGGTCAAAATAAATTTAGAATTTAACAATTGTGTTGAAAAAAAAAAAAAAAAAAAAAAAAAAAAAAAAAGAAAAAGGAAAGGGTGAAAATAAAAAGTGGTCCTTTGTCGGCTCGAATCACAAGGCGGGGTTTACCTAGTGCGCACTTTCGGGTAGCGGCTGCGGGTTCCCTTGTCAACAAAAAATATAAGATTTGAAAAATAATATTAATAGTCGAGAAATAAAATAATATAAGGGGGGGGGGGGGGGGAGGGTTTTGGGAATATTATTCCAATCAAATTATTCTAAAAATAATAAATTAATGAAGTAATTGTTGAATTTCTTTCTCCATGTCCAAATTTCCTTAATATTAACAGAAACGGTCTAAACGGACCGTTATTCTCGTAATGCTAATCTGTTTTCCCTTCTTTACCATTTCCTTCAAATGTCAGTTTTACGATTTCTTCCATTTCTCATTAATGGTTGACGACACAATATAGTAATACAAACTAGCTCATATTTTATGTAATTTCAGAAAAAAACTGAAAACAATTGATTGTAAATATGTGGAGGATTTCATTTAATCTGTTGAAACGGGGATTTAAGCCAGCGGCTCGCGCTAGGCCGAGCTGTAGGCTGATTCCTTTTCCAGGATTGATGGGCCTATCGTCTTATTTCAGCTCCTCCGTTAACGAAGGCGCCGGAAGTTTGGACAGTAATAGTGGTAACGGAAATGGGAATGAGATGACTTATGCGGAGGCGAAGAGGCTGATGAGGCTGGTGAACGTGGAGGATTTGAAGGAGAAACTGGGTATGGAGGAGAAGGAGGTGATTGGGTATTCTGAGCTTTTACAGGCCTGTGAGAGTATAGGCGTCGCCAAGTCCGCCGTGGAGGCCGCCGCCTTTGCTCGAGTTCTTGATGAGGCCGGCGTCGTTTTGCTCTTCCGGGACAAAGTGTATCTACACCCTGATAAGGTTAAATAATTATATCTATACTATATCTGTGTGTGTTCATTATGTGTTTTAATACCGCTTTGGGATTTGATTTAGAAATAAAGTTGTGGTTCCAAAAGGGATTCTTGGGGTATGTATGATACTGCTTTACTGGTGGGGTTGAGGAAGATAAAAAGATTTATTCTGTTCCCATAAGAAAAAGGGAGATTGAATATTACAAAAAGATGATGGAGAAACCACTGTATCTAAACAATCTGTTTGATATGAAACTAATTCCAACAGTGGGGTCAAATCAATGTTAAATTCTTGGATTTAAAATGAAATGTAAAAGTACAGATTTGAGTTTCTTTACCATGACCTCTAAGTTGGGGATTTTGAAGAAAAGAACATACAGTTTAGACTGATCATGAAACGCGTCGTGGATTTCTCATATAGTTGTGTTTCTCGTGTCCTCAATTGTCCAGTTCCTTGGCTCGCTAGCTTGCTTATTGAAATTGTGGTTTTAAGTGAAATGGAATTCAAAACTTGATCGATTTTGGTTGGATCATAAATCCCATATATTGAGTTCTTATCCTTTAATTTTATGGTTTGAAACATTGGATTTGATTCATAATGATCTATAACTTTTTGCTATAAGAAACAGGTTGAAAGAGAGTTAGATCGCCATGACTAATATCTAGTTTATCGATTAGTAATTTGTGTTTGAAATCATCTTAATTAAATTTGGCTTAGATGTTAAGATCTCCGACCCTGTGCTGCCAAACTTAGCATGATTTGGTTGTCAATGGTTTTCATAGAAGTTGGTATTTTTTTTTTTTTTCCTTTTTGTTTCTCTGTCTGCTTTTGCTTTCGGTTCTTTGTATCATGCATTTGCTGATGGTATGATATTGTTTGCATTAAAGAGGCATTTTAGTACGATATCAGAAGCTTCACAATGTACTCTCTTGGAGTCGAACTATGTAATTTCTCGTTGGTTTTCTTGTTCAGGTGGTTGATCTTGTTAGAAGGGCAGTTCCCCTTGCGCTTTTATCTGAAGATGATCAAAGCAAGGACGAGCTTAAGAAGTTGCAAGTAAAAAAGGAAGAAATTGACATGCTAGCTCACAAGCAAGTCCGTCGCATTTTGTGGACCGGACTTGGTCTTTCCGTGGTACAAGTCGGGCTTTTCTTTCGTCTGACTTTTTGGGAATTTTCTTGGGATGTTATGGAGCCAATCGCATTTTTCACAACGACAACTGGAATAGTAATAGGCTATGCTTACTTCTTAGTCACTTCAAAAGATCCTTCTTACCAAGACTTGCTAAAGAGGCTATTCCTATCTAGGCAAAGGAAACTCATCAAGAAACATAATTTTGACATTCAGAGGTTTGTGAAGTTGCAAAAGAAATGCAAATTACCTCCAGAGACTTGTGCCTCCTTCAAAAGGCGGGTTGGGGTAGAAGTGGATCCGGAGGATCTTTTACATGGCCATTGACCTAACTTTTGATTATATTTTGTTTCACAATTTACCAAAAGCTCCTATTTTCTGTGGAGCAAAGGGAACTTATGTTAAAGTTGTTACTGGCTTCTGGGTCTTGACTTTGATGGTTAGATTTTCAACTAACTTCTTTTTGATAGAGAGATCTTGGTAAGGAGTAATTTGCTTAAGCTTCTAACAGTTGGCGGTCATGTAAAATTTTGTAGTTCATAGTTTTTAATCATAATATGGGCTCTGTTAGTGTCTTCAGCAATTTCCTATCTTTTATTAGAATATAAATCTTGATTCCTTGTGGCATTCTTCCTAAAAGCTCATTAGATATAGAATTGAACCATGCAAGTGTCCTTAACTTCGAGCTTTTTAGCTTGCCATCTTTTCGATCTGAGAACTAAGCTTCGAGTGAGATATTGCTGGTTGAATTTTACACTTGAGTCAGAGCTCAAAACGTGTTAATGCTTGCTCGAATCCTTTGCTTCCTTAGGTTCCATTCGAGATATATACGTGTATTATATGCAAGAAGGCCTCTCATGACATTCATCGAGATGTTTACAGAAGAAGCGTCGTGCATCCATAGCATTACATAAGTCTATACAGATTGTTCTTTCTAAAAATTAAAAACTCACCCTCCAGATTATTTAGCAGATCAACTATTGCCTCTTCCTTTGATCCACTGAAGTGTTCCAAGAGATCAGATAGTGAAACCTGCACATTTTTGCCATTACCTTCTCGAGCTAGAATATAATAATGCTGTTACGATATATTGAATGTAGAGGTTCAACACTTACCCCATCGTCAAAATTCTCAAGCCAGCGTAATATAGAACTTTCCGATGCCTCGACCGTAGCAGATCGTTCTACTTGTGGCCCATCAACTTTTTGGCGTTTCCGAGATTTCGGTGAACCATCAGTACCAAATGGCAGCCGTTCTGCGTTTGCACTCCCAATGAGATCAGAAATTGTGGCTTTAGATTTCCTTGGGGAACTACCACCATTTGCATTGTCCACAAGTGATTCATGATTGGGTCGACCCTCTACTCCACCGCCGTGATGATGGCCAGATGATATACCTTCAACCGATATTCCCATCTCTTGCACCAGCAAGTAGGCCTTGATCTGGCTATAAGTTACCTAGTTTTATAAACAGCAGAATTATCAAATATCATCACAACACATGGAATCTTAGTTCATTTCATTCCTTGCATCATAGAACGCATGACCCACAACTATAATATTCTACAAATTTCGGTACGCTTGACTGCATTTTAACTTACTTTTTCTTTAGAAGTAATGTTATTCCACCTTACTAAACATGCTATGATAATATCAATGCTTAATAAAAGGTTTAGTTCCGAATGCATTTATATAAAATATTTAATTCATAAAGCTTACTTCTTCTGGTAATTCAGTTTTGATAGGCTTTAGCTTCTCTTTGCCAACTTTTGACACAACATCCTGAATATTCGTAAATAGCTGCCGCGTCAATCCAATGTCCTCACAGAATCTGGTCCAATCAATTGGGCATCCCTCTCTTGCAGCTTCAAGAAGATAATCTATCACAGTTTGTTCTTTTATTGGAGCTGCTCGACCGGGGAAATTCTACAAAGCAGAAATTAAAACAGAAGTCCACGCTAAAATCTAGGCATAACTTAATTACAAGCAACCGTGTCAAGACATACGGCAATTTTATGGAATGTAAGGCCATCTTCTTGCCACATTCTCCAAGCTTCAAACTTTGCCGGCAATAACTTCTTGTTGTTCGGTACAGTGGAAACCTTTCTTGGCGTAGGAGTTTGTGTATTTGGCTCCCCATCCAAAGCAAGATTCAATTCTTTTGATAAATGCTGAATGCTTTGTAGCAAACAATCTCCATGTGTAATTAGAAAGTGCTACGACACATTATCAAAGCTAACAAATCAGATATAATACGCATACAAACATCCAACCAGATAATAAAGATACAATATGATCAAGAGTCTTAATCTGATGCATTCCCTTCTATTTTTATCTCAAGTTGTAGTTATGTCTAAAAAACAATGGTTTCTTCAGTTTTAAAGCAATCAATGAGTAAATATTGCAACAAATATTTGAGCAAATATAACCGACGCAAAAATGTTTGCGGATAAATCCTGTAGGTCCAACAAGAAGAGGATGAAGAAAATGCTGACGAGTTTCTGTGGCTAATTTAGAAGTTAAATCAAGCTTTACAGCAGCCCTCTAACCGATCTGATCCTGAAACCCAACCATCATTTGAAAATTTTGAAAGATCTTCAAGATTATTCTGTTTAGAATGAAGTTCTGGTACTGACAGCAAACAATGTAATTTTTTTTTTTTTCCTTTTCAAGTTTTGAAGAAGATGCATTATTGCAAGAACAGTATGGAGTTGTCTTACTATGACTTCACCATAGTTCAACGGAGAAAGAGGAGCATCTTCCAACTAATCCGAGTGAGGTAAGTGGTAACTCATATCAGAGATGTCAACTTCAATTTCAATTCANGGAGAAAGAGGAGCATCTTCCAACTAATCCGAGTGAGGTAAGTGGTAACTCATATCAGAGATGTCAACTTCAATTTCAATTCAATTATAATTTTCCTTCATATAGAGACAAGATATTATGTCCCTCTCCATCACATGCTTCGATACTAGGGCTTATTTATAACATCCAATAATGGAAGATGCAATGGCACTCCAATGACGCATTAAAACTATTCCTCTGAGATTTTATGTATAAGAGGGCTAGAACAACACAAACATTTGTAAAATCCAAATGTGATAATTGTATACAGAGAAAATGCAAAATGTAGTAATTATAAGGAAAAACCCCAAATTGAAATGTACAGGTGAGCAAATTCCAAGCATGTGTAAGATCCCGTCCACCTAAACTATAGTGGAACAAGAAACATGGCCATTAAGGTATACCTGGTTCACACCATCTATATTTGCTAGCCTTGCTCGAGTTGATGGCCTTGTCAATGCTATCCTTTTTAATGTTAGATCACCGCATATTGCATATCTGCATGCTAAAATAGATCAATAGACAGTGTTGCATTCCTCAAAGTACAGTTGTATAGTGTAATCATACAGGCAGCTTGCCATTAGAATATACTCCTGTGACACTATTGTCCCAGGTCGACTACATTTTGAGGTGAAATAATCTTGCTACACTTAAATTTAAGAAATAACACTTGACGATTAGCATGCCGTATACTGTATTAACAAATTTTCAAGTGTTCATCTGAAAAATATCATGTCAAGATTAATTGCACTTCAAAAAGGTGGTGGAATTGACCCAAAATTACCAATATGATAAAGTATCGTGTGACACAGGAAGTAGCACTGTAGCAGCTCAAGAACAATGAGAAAACTCACGGAGCAGTTCCAGTTTTTTTGGCTATCTTCATTCTCTCCTCTACGAGCATTTTATAGAACTGTGCCTCTTCCTGAACTTGTAAATGATGGAGACGAGCATAAAAATCAAATCATTACAGGTTCTGGTCAAAGTTAAATTGTTGAAGATGAAAAAAGAAGCATCTGGAGGTAAAACTTTAAAAAGAAGTGCAAGGCATCATAGGGGGAAAAAATAATAATAAATAGACACAGGAAGTGAAAAGACAATCAAATATGAGAAAGGTAAAAAATTTTGTCCTACTCAAAATCACATGCAGAAGATGCTAAGGATGGTAGAAAAGCCCACCTGGCACAACCCCTCAAATTTAATAGGAGCCAAACCATCAACTCCAGCCTCACCAACTATATCTGTGCCTTTCATATCACCAACCATTTCTGTAGGCGATGGAAGATATAATGGAGGCTGATGATCAGGAGTGCAAGAGTTCAAAAAGTCCACTCCTTTTGGTCCGACCCTGAAGCATGAAAGGAAAATCACAATAAGATATTTAGGGCCAGTTTGATGGCCTTTAAAATTTTAAATTGTTTGCTACAATATCATTCTCCAACACACATTCACATAATGAAATAATCTACACACAAACCAATAAAGTTTATTTATTTTTTAACCACACATTCTCCAACACATACTATTCAAAACTCTTTATTTTGTCAAATAATGGGTGACAAACAGGGGCTTATTTACAGTATAATCTTATTATATTGGCTGCAAAAGAGAATGTCCAATATTGATATTTTATTAGAATTCACTAAAAGCATAGTTTTTGGCTTACCCATATCAGTTTATTTACCAAATGAGTTTCTGATTTACGCAAATTCATAATTTGTATCCTGCAGTAAATCTTGCATCTCCTTATTTGAGATGTCACAATTTATCTCTTTTGAATATTCACTTTCAATCAACGATGATTGCGGTCGACGTTTCGGCAAAGTTTGTTATGGTGGAGAGAGAGAAAGTGTGTCCGAACACAGACCCGCATTTCAATCTGAGAAAGAAAGAGAGTCTCTCCCTAAAGTCTCATCCCACGGGCACATCTTGACTATGAAAAGCAGACGAAGCAAGAAGAGTGCCGGATCATCCGGGCACAGAAACTCAACCGCTTTCGTCAAAAGAAAAAAGGGTTGGTCCAACCAAGAAAGGCATGGGAGTTAATATTTAGGACAAACACGAGCCTTTGGTGCCAATTGTTCATGAAGAGAACTAATGAACATGAACAAACGTTTTGAACTCATCACAAGCAACAATGAATAGACTTGCCATGTGAAAATCTACCCTTGCTCAGTTTATTGCAGGCATGATGGCAGATGACAGGCTGATAAGGAAAACAGATCTGGATACAGGAAGTGACAAATATCGTACATCTGGATGCCAGCCAGAAATTGGAAACTAAGTATTATGACAAAGTTCTTTGCTACATGCAACAATGATGTTGCATCCTTATGGAGGGTGTGATTTCAACTTGAATATAACAGGGATTACAGAAATTATGAGCAACTTATAAGCTTATGCAAAGAGTTCACATCCAGCCATTTAGCACAACTTTTGTACGTAGATTTAGGCCATATTGCAGGTTGCAAGCAGTGGGCTTGGAGACTACCATCAAGTCAAATGGGCTCCCGGATGATGAGTGACAGAATGGGAGTGTGTGAGACAGCGAAAAGTATATTTTTACAGCTCAAAACTCATAAACTAATCAGAGAAAGAAATCTACCTTAAACTAATCAGAGAAAGAAATCTACCTTACAGTTTTGTACACATCTCTGAAGGTCTCAATCAAATAATCTGCACAAAACACAAAAAAGCTATTAACCATCCACAATCACAGCATCTGGAAGAACACCCAAATAAAATTATTCTATCCATAGAATCAAAGAAATCGAGAAGG